CTGTCAAACGACAACTGAGCGTCCAAAAATGGCTGAAAATTTCATTAAAAGTCTTTCAAAGCATATACTACTGTAATACTAGAATGGTTTTGACAAGTAACGTTAATCTTTCCATGTTTAAGGCTCAAAACTTTTCAATTATCGGCAAATAGTCATTTGTGTTGTGTGAATATGAATTAATTATTTTCGAATTAATATATATATCAAGAATATGTTTGATATTAATTTGACGTATTTAGATTTTTTGTTTTATACGTACAAATTTGCCGATGCAATAATATAAATTGTATTTAAAAATCAGTTAAAAATATTTTTTGAAATGAAAAAGAGGTTCAAGAGTATGGTAAATCAATTAAATATTCCAATGGACTGATTAATGCGACGCCCTGCATATTTATTTATAAACAATTAATTTATAATCAATAAAATTGCAACAAAAAAACATATTGTAGCTTTGTATAGCTTTTATAAATTAACATTCTTATTAATCAAAATTTACTTAAACTTACATAAAATATAAGTTAAACATTACCTTTTCTAAGACAAAGTTATTATTTATTTTCGTTAAAATGAAACCTGTAATTATTCCCATAATATATGGAATTATTCTAATCCATGGTGAAAAATATAAGATATCCGCAAGTCTATATTGTTCACCCCAACTACAAGAATAAAAAAAAAAAAGCATTAACAATTAATTTTTTGATAAGTATAGATAGATAAAATATATTTCAATAACTTACGTTGGAATGTATTCATAAATATATGAAATATAACCATTAAGGATGACGGAACCTATTAAAAGTATACCCAATAGCACAGCAGCGGCATAAAAGTACCTGAAATTACGATATGATATTTTTCCGAATATATTAGAGACACGTAGCTATATTATTGTCAATGATTAATTAACTTACACAGTTGATAACATCAATATTATTATAGCAATTATAAAAAATTGCATATCATTAGCTAAATACCAACTCCAACTCATGCACTGTAATAAAAATGAAACGTAAAAGATTTATACGCCCCTAAACATAATTTTAAGCTTTCCTTAAATAGATTACATGTTACCATTTCCTCGAGGCCGAAGAGATTATTTATGTACAAAAGATTTCTCCACCAATATTTTGTGCAAGTTTCATATGATTTCTCGTACATGTAAAATTGTGAGATCTTATGAATCTTAGTTGAGCTTAATAATAATATTCCTAATACCATCATGTAAATCGGAGTTAGCCTTAAAATAAAATTCTAATTATAGAAATAAAATAAATTACATTGGATCACAAAATAAAATCAAAAATTTTTTCCAATTATTGTACTTTTCTAAATAATATTCAATTATAATTGTTTTTAAAGGATAACGTTGCTATTACATTGTTTGCAATATTTGATATCAATCAACGTAAAATAACATAATATTTTACATACTGTTATCAAGTATAATG